CTATCCTTACAGAAAGATTACACTCGATACCATTAAAACATTGCAAACAGTGTTCTTTCAGATGCAACACTTCATGAAATAGGGAACCAGAAGATATGAACAACATCTTGTTTCAAACAACGAACGAAAAGCAATGCATCTCAAGGCTCTAATCATTGTTTCAGGCGGTATGCTACAACGAGCATGTCAATGCAGCAAAGCAGATAGGCAACAAAAAAAAAAGAAGAAATCTTTACTGCAAGGAGGAATAAAATGCTTTGATGACACTAAATTATAGTTTGATTCTTCCTACCACAGAGGCAGGTAAACATTTATCGATAATTTTGACAAAAGAGACTTACAAGAGCCAGCATCTCCTGAAGATAGCCACGGAATGGGGTCTGCACCGCCTGTATATAAAATAACAAGATCAAATAAGAAAGTTGCAAAATCCAAAACAGTTGCAGTTTTTATCTTTGTAATAGCTAAAGATTGTCAAACAAAGCCACTGTCTAAATCAACCGAGTATATATAATAGTATACACGCAAACACTATTTCGTTTTATAGAAAGGAAACAACTTTTTATCAATCCAATAAGAGCAAGAGCAGAGTAAACACAGTACCACAAGAGACAAGACATAACAAGCTAGTCTATAAACATCTAAGCTCCACTATCACAAGAACACATAAGATGGATATTATAAATGGGAAGGATTTGCCTCAGTCAAAATCACAAATAACCACTTAATCTTTCAGTTCTTTACCTACAAAATTTTGTTGTTTTATCATCTAACATTCTACACAGCTTAGATCGGTTCTAACAACATCAATTTCATCTGCAACGAAGCAGATAAATACCAGAAGCGGAACATGAAGAGTACCTGAAGATCCTTGGGAAGGTACTCGTGCTTCATGGAGAGATCCATGGCACGCTTGAGACGCTGGTTACGAGCGTCAACGACTTCCCTGGGCAATCTGTTCATAGCCTCTTTAATGTCCATCTCGTAATACTGATCGTACAGATCATCGTACCTGAGACCTGATCATTCGAACCAGAAAGAAAAAAGGGAAAACAAACGGATCAGATTAAGAATCAACAAAAAAAAATTCAGATACAGAGCCTCATAAACAACAAATCCAGATTCAGAAATTAGGGATTTTTTCCGAGAGAGAGAGAGATCTGACCGTATCTTCGAAGTCGAGTCGATATTGCTTTCATATGCATACGAGCGAGGAAGTTCTTCTTTGGATCGATGAACGATTGGATAAACGACGACATTTTTCGT